GATCCCTCAAAGTTCTAGGCACATACTTCTCTAGAAACAAAGCATGAAATTGGGTCCAAGTAAGTGGAGGTAAAGTAAAAGATTTGCATTCCATATAAGCTTTCCACCACTGCTTGGCCTCACGTTGAAGTTGGAAAGACATGAACTCAACCCCATATTGGTGAACAATACCCAATTTATGCAGCCTCTCATAACAGTCTAAGATAAACTAATAAGCATCTTCAGTCTCAGAACCCAAAAACACATGAGGTTTAAGCTTCAGAAACTTAGTCAACATGTCATGCTCATTACCAGTCATAACGGAACCCAACAAAGGATGAAAGAAATAATCAGTACCCATATTTCCTCCCGTCTTAGGCGCAGTGCTAGCAACATGAGGATTAGTAGGAGTTTGAGTTGCTTGAGAAGATGGAAGCACTCCAGGACCAGCCAATCCTTTCAAGAACGCCATAATATATTGACCTAACACCGGATCGATGTAAGGAATAACCGCAGTCTCTACTGGCACGTCTTCCTCTTGTCCATTTTCCTCAATATCTCCAACCTCAATATCCTCTTCTATCTCTTCATTATGTGCATGAGAGTTCTCATTCATAGGAACATTATCAATCAGTTCCTCATTCACAGAAGGTGCTACTCTCCCACGACCTCTACCCCTATCTCTTCTTCTACCTCTACCTCGAACGCAACCTCTCGCTGCAGATTCCTCAGCTGAAGCATTGGCAGGAGCTACGGGCCTAACACCGTTATACCTAGTATTAACCATCTGCGATCAGAAGACTAAAGGAGGTTAGATACCAATTTGAATCGATAGATACCAATTGTAATCAAGTCATAGCACGAAAGGAGACAAGAGAAAAATAGAGAGATTTCCTAAAGTCTATAGCCTTTCGAAGAAAAGTAAAGGCGTCCCCATACCGTTCTGTGATACTCTATTAGACTCATTTTGGTACATCGAGATCAACGGAACTAGGCTCTAATACCAACTTTCTCACGACCCAGACCATCGTGATTGGCACCCACACTAACACTCCGGTGGGAAAACCACTACTACAACTCAAACCAAGCAACTAAAGCAATAACTAAGGCATTTAAATCAAACACTAAGGAAATAAAAATAGAGTTCCCATAAACTCTAACAAAAGTCTAACAATAATAACTAACAATGCGAAAGAATAACCTAGAACCTGAAAGTCAGTGTACTAAAACATTCTAACAATGAACCAAGTCTAAACAAGAAAGGGATACAACCCCAACTAATGAACAAATCAACTAGCTAAAACAAATGTCTAAGTCCAGAAATGGTGGACATAGACAAAAGAGAATCTCATGGGAGCCCGGAAGAATTGGCTCACCCCTGAATTCAAAGCAATGATCACTCTAAGCGAGGTCTATCAGTAGCCACTTGAAGATACCATGTACTCAACAAAAATAGGAGCAAGTGCAGTATCAGTACACATCCACAGTGTACTGGTAGGATCACAGAGCTATCCCACTAGTGCAACATAAACCAGTCAAAGAACATTGTAATCACATGCATATATATCAACATATACAACATTATCAACATTTATGAACAACGAGCAACTTGACAATTTACATCAAATCATTGGTCCTCTTATGGAACCCGAGCCCAAACCCAAACAGGTAGCATACCGGAATGTGGCAACCGATCCCATATTTATGTCGAAACGTGGAAATCGATCCCATTTTATGCTGGAACGTGGCAACCAATCCAAGTTAGTTATGCTGGAACGTGGCAACCAATCCAAGTTAGTTATGCCAAAACGTGGCAACCGATCCCATTCACACACCACAATCACAAACACAAGTATATCCTCAAGATCATACATTCAAGTCATGATTTCATGGCAATAATAATTCATCTAACTCATTTACAACAAGTGTGATCAACATTTCAACATTCATACATATACAAGTATAATAATGAAGCAAGAACACGCATACATCACACAATCATAGAATTACAATCATCACCTACCTCGAAACAAGCTCAAAACCCTAAGAAACTTGATGCTTCCCGTTTCGGATTCGTTCCGCTTGTTCTTGGTTAACAAATAATCATAATAACACAAGATTCAACAAACAATCACTAATTACCCGAAACTATAACAATTCTATGAACTCTAAATCAAACCCATGATGCCAATTATCCAAATTAGGGTTGTTTCTGATGAGTCCACAAATTGGACTCATTTTGGGCTATATTTTAATAGAAATTGTGTCCTCACATGCTTATTTTATCTCAATATCTAATGCAAACCCTTAAGTTTCAGGTATTCGAAGATTGAAGGAAATAATGGACACTACTGCGCAAAAAGGAACAAAAAGGTTGAAAAGAATGAGAAAATAAAGGCCTAAGGATCGCCGAGTCCACTTGGCGAATCACCGAAGGGTCTCACTCCGCCTTTTGTTCCATTGTGCTGAGCTTGAAGGAAAGGATCAAGTCGGCTGAACAAGGGAGCAGTCGGCGTATCGCCCAGCAATTCTGCAAAGCAGTACTATATCGCCCAATGACCCAAAGCACGAAGATACAAAAGCATGGTGCAAGACAGCGAAGAACTACACCAAATGGAAAATCACCAAGTTGATCGGTGATTCTGACTAATGTCGCTGAATGATCCGTCGCAGCACAGATTTTTGAAAACTATAAATACTCGTTGAGAGTTATAACTTAGTATCAGATTTTAGTATCATAATATTTTCAGTGTGAAATAATTAATATAATTTTACTACTTTTTCTCTGAGTTTGAAAGGGTTTTGAAACTTGAAGAAGAAGAGGGTTTCATCTCCAAGGATTTGGACTTGGGTCTCTCGGATTCTTCATTCTTGGCATGTAACAAGACTTAATTCTTCATACCCATTTGAATGCAAGCTCATTTAGGTATAAATTTCTATCTCTTGATTTGTGGCTAAAACCCCCCATTCTTGGGGTATGATTTAGCAAATATGTGTTGAGCTTATTGTTGGATTTTTCTTGCTGATAGGTTAGATGTATTTTGATTGTGATTTCACCTAGTGGTTATGGTTTAATTTAAGGGTTTGTAGTTACAAATACAAAACCACCCATGTTTTTTGGCTTGCTCAAAAGAGAGGTCGTGAAACCAAGACAACTAGACTGATGGCCTAAGGAGTGGGTCGATGTGAGGTTCAGCCCGAAAGGGTGAGCCCTAGTCCCATATCCTAACACTCAACTCGAGAGAGTGAGTGGGGTAAGGCGTAGGCTGGCCTTCATGCAACAAATGGGTGTTCGAGAGGAACCCATTTGAAACGGGGTAAGTTGCTCGAGAGGGAACTTATTTCCATCTAAAGCTTAGCCTAGTCACTATTATGTTGCGAACCTCCTATCGAAAGCATGTACCCAACGATTTAAATCAATATATATTGCGGTCACACCCCAAGAATCCCCTCTCGTTCATAGATTTCTCTGTCATTTTTACTGTTTTAGATGTACTTGTGACAAAACCCCCATTTTATTTGACACTTTTGTGTCACCGCCATTTAATTCACAATGTTTTTAGTCGTTAATGTCTTTAGCTACGACTAGTTAGAACTAATTTTATTTTTCTATTAATTCTCGAAAACACTCCCTTGGGACTCGACCTCAACCCTTGGTTGGGTTACTATACTATTGCACGATTGTAGACACTTACATCAGAAGTTGTGTCATTGATTATGCAAACATCAAAATGGCGCCGCTGCCAGAGAGTGGTGTTATTTGAGAATTCTTAGTTAAGTAGAATTTTTCGTTCTTATTAGTGGTTGTCTACTTACCTAATTTTAAGTTTTGTTTTGAGTATTTGTGTGTTTCAATATCCATATGAGTGTGAACGGCAAAAATAGCTGCCAAGCAGGCTATCCAATGGGTTATACTTTTCATCGAGACAATATTGATGATGTTAATAGTGTATACAACCCCACCCAAGTGGAAGACATGGGTGCAATATGCATGCCACAAGCAGACGGAAGTGCAACATTTGAAGTTACTAGCACAATGCTCCATCTCATACATTCAAGAGGTTTATATGGAGAGTGGGAGCACGAAGATTCGTATGAGCATATATGAAGCTTTGTAGAAGTGTGCACTTCTTTGTCATTCAAGAATCTGCCACAAGAATGCATAAGGCTGCGCTTATTTCCATTATCATCAACCAAGGAAGCCACTAAGTGGTTGGTCAAGCTTCCAAGAACTCCATCAAGTTATGGAAAAAGTTGGTTACGGATTTCCATGAAAGATTCTTCCCTCGATCAAAGATGATGAAACTGAGAGACGACATTCAAAATTTTAATCAAAAGAAGGGCGAATCAATTCACGAATCATGGACACAATTTAAGAGATTTTTGCGAAGATGTCTAACGCATGGACTGCCGAGTGAGTTATTGCTCCAATATTTTTACCATAGTCTGGATTCAGGGAATAAAGGGATAGCTGATCAGCTGGTGCAAGGAGGAATAATGTTACAATCCTTTGAAGTAGCCTCATTCCTCCTAGATGGAATGACTAGAGTAAATCAAGCATGGTACACAAAGGGTGACCACGTTTCCCCACTGTGCTTCAGATTAACACAAGAACAACTCGATAAAGAAAAGGAGAGGGATGAAAACATCAAAAAGATTTTCTCAAATGGAAGTGATACATGAGCATATGAAGGGGAAGTATGGAGTGTTTCGAGTTGAGGAGGATTCTCCTTCTGGTTACTTAAGACTGGGGAGAATCAAGGTTGGAATTCCACAAGATATGAGGAGGGTTTCCACCCACGCTATCAATAGCGGGGAGGAAATCAAGGTTGGAACCATTAAAGGAATGAAGAACCAAGGAGATATTGCCATGATTGGGCTGAGCAAGATGACCATGAGGAAAACCGTACTCAATTGAGTGAAAGCCCAAAATCAAAAGGGAGCGCAGGTAGTCCTCAGGTAAATGAAATGTTGTCACGCATACTTGATAAGTTGAGGGCTCTGATGATTTGCTAAAAGGAATGAGAGATGACTTTTCATCACAGAACAGTAAAGTGAATTCTCATGCTGATGCCATTAAAACACTAGAAGGTCAATTGAATCTATTATCAGCTCAATGGACATCCAGGACACTAATGAAAGATAATGAAAGAGGGCTAGTTGTGGTTACCCATAGTGGAAAGACGGCAAAAGGGAATGAGATGGAGGATGAGGACCCTCGAACGCAGGAAGGGAGCCAGGGTATAGAGGAACGAGAATTTCCTAGTCCACAAAACCTTGCCAAAGAACCACAAGAGGATGTAGAGCAACACAGTCAAGTTCCAAAAGTCATGCACCTTTTGCCCAAAATACCTCCACCATTTCCTCAACGTTTGAAAAAGAAGAATGAAGATGAGAAGTCCAAAAAAAAATTGTCAGTATTCAAGAACTTATCAATTAACCTTCCTCTGGTGGAAGCATTGTTAGAAATTTCAGGATACGCCAAATTCATGAAAGAGCTGGTTACAAAGAAAAGGAGCTTGGAGTATGAAACGATCGATGTGCCCCATAGTTGCAGTGCAATTATGACAAATGAGTCAATCATTAAGAGAGAAGATCCTGGGGCATTCACAATCCCATGCACAATTGGCATGTTCCAATTCGCTAAAGCTTTGTGCGATTTAGGAGCAAGCATTAACTTGATGCACTATGCAATATATAAGCAACATGGTTTGAGTGAACCAAAGGCAACCACAATGAGACTCCTTATGGCAGATCGATCAATCAAGCACCCCGTAGGGATACTCTATGACATACTGGTAAAAGTAGATCGGTTCATCTTTTCGGCCGATTTTGTGATTCTGGATTGCAAGATTGATGATGAAATCCCCATTATTTTGGGAAGGCCATTCTTAGCTACCGGGAGAGCATAGGTGGATGTTGAAAGCGGGAAATTAAAGTTTCGTGTGAATGATGATGAGGTAACCTTCAATATCTATAAATCCATGAAGCAACCAAGTAATATTCGTGTGGTGTCTACTGAGGATGTTATAGATGAGGCAGTGGCAAGTGTGAGCCATTCAATGCACAAGAATGAACCCATTGAATATGTGCTCGCCAACTATGATGAATCTGAAGTTCAAGGATATGATAAAGTGGTAGCTACCTTATCAGGGTTAGGATTATATTCAAGGAATCCAATCAAGTTGGATATCGACCTGAAAAACAGAGAAAGTACTCCTGCAAAGCCATCAACACAAGAACCACCGAGTCTGGAGTTAAAAGCCCTACCTTCTCATCTAAAGTATGCCTTCTTAGGAGCCAATAATACTTTACCAGTGATTATCGTAGCTAATTTTCTTGAAAGGTAGGTAAAATTGCTCATTGAAGTATTGTAGAAGCATATAAAAGCTATTGGATGGACAATAGCCGATGTAGTAGGAATGCCTCCTGGCATCTATACTCACAAGATTCGGCTTGACAGTGAATGTAAACCTAGTGTGGAACATCAGAGGAGATTGAACCCTCCAATGAAAGAGGTGGTAAAAAAAGAGATCATCAAGTGGCTAGATACGGGAGTGATCTACCCTATTGCAGATAGTAAGTGGATAAGTCCAGTGCAATGCGTACCGAAAAAAAGAGGTATAATCGTAGTCCCAAATGTAAAAGGAGAACTGGTGCTAACAAGACCAGTGACTGGGTGGAGAGTATGCATGGATTATCGGAAGCTTAACTCATGGACCGAAAATGACCACTTCCCAATGCAATTTATGGACCAGATGCTTGACCGGTTATCAAAACGGGGGTGGTATTGCTTTTTAGATGGATATTCCGGTTACAATAAAATATCTATTGCACCGGAGGACCAAGAGAAAACCACTTTTACCTACCCTTATGGAACATTTGCATTCAAAAGGATCCCATTCGGGTTGTGTAATGCCCCAATAACATTCCAGCATTGCATGTTGTCTATTTTTGCGGAAATGGTTGAAGACTCTATGGAGGTATTCATGGATGACTTCTCAGTCGTAGGGGACACATTTGAGGAATGCTTGACACACTTAGGACAAGTACTCCAAAGGTGCGTGGATACGAATCTGGTTGTCAATTGGGAAAAATGTCACTTTATGGTGAAGGAAGGTATCGTTCTTGGGAACAAGGTGTCACAAAAGGGACTGGAAGTTAACAAGGCAAAAGTTGAGATCATTGAGAAATTACCCCCGCCAATTTCAGTGAAGGGTGTTCATAGCTTCTTGGGTCATGCAGGTTTCTACCGAAGGTTCATTAAAGACTTCTCAAATATTGCACATCCACTCTGTAAACTCCTAGAGAAGGAAGTGAAGTTCTATTTTGATGACGCTTGTATGACCGCATTTAAGTGTTTGAAAGAAAAATTAGTATCCACCCCGATTATCGTCAGTCCTGATTGGTTTGAATCTTTCGAAGTAATGTGTGATGCTAGTGGTATGGCGTTGGGAGTAGTGTTGGGGCAAAAGCGCAACAAACTATTTCACACAATTTATTACACAAGCAAAACTCTGAATAGTTCCCAGCAAAATTATACAGTCAATGAACAAGAGTTACTCGCAGTGGTCTATGCATTTTAAAAGTTTCGGGCATACCTGTTAGGCACCAAGGTAATAGTACACACTAATCATGCTGCACTCCGCTACTTAATGGCGAAGAAAGATGCAAAACCAAGATTGATAAGGTGGGTGCTACTATTACAAGAGTTCAATTTTGAGGTTAAGATCGAAAAGGCTATGAAAATCAAATGGCCGACCACTTGCCGAGGTTGGATGGAAGGGAGGATGCCAGGTGTGAGGTCGACATAGATGACTCATTCCCCGACGAATAGGTATTTGCTATATCTCTCAAACCTACGTCGTGGTATGCAAATTTCGCAAATTACATTATGAGTGGATTGATGTCGTATGAGCTGACCTTTTACCAACAAAAGAGATTCTTGTTCGATGTTAAAAAGTACTTTTGGGATGAACCATACTTGTTTCGAGAATGTGCTGACCATGTTATTAGGAGGTGTGTTCCAGAAGAAGAAGCAGTAGACATTCCATGCATCTCTAGTAGGAGGTCACTATAGTGGTATTCACACTGCCGCTAAAGTCCTCCAAAGTGGTTATTACTGGCCGTCCTTACACAAGGATGCAATGAATTTGCAAAGAAATGCTCTCAATGTCAGCAGCAAGGCGATGTGTCTAGAAGGCACGAGTTACCTCTCACTCCTATTTTGGAAGTCGAGTTATTCGATGTATAGGGTATTGATTTCATAGGCCTATTTGTGAGCTCATTTGGAAATAAATACATATTGGTGGCTATAGATTATGTCTCTGAATGGGTAGAGGCCATCTCACTTCCAAACAACGAATGGAGAAGTGTTGTCCAATCTCTGAAACGCTACACTTTCACAAGATTTGGCACTCCTAGGGCATTCATTAGCGATGGGGGTCTCACTTTTGCAATAGGAGGTTTTCAATGGCACTAGGCAAATATGAGGTGAAACACAAAGTAGCAATCCCATATCCTCCCCAAACAAGTGGCCAAGTCAAGGTGTCAAATCAGGAGATCAAAAGTATCTTGGAAAAGACAGTAAATGCCAATAGGTCTGACTGGTCTAGGAAACTCGATGATGCTCTATCAGAATACCGGACTGCTTATGAAACACCTATCAGTATGTCTCCATATCAGTTGATTTATGGTAAGGCTTCTCATTTGCCCATCAAGCTAGAACACAAAGCCTTGTGGGCATTAAAGGCCTTACATTTGGACTGGTCAAAAACTTCAAGGGAGAGGGTAGAACAGTTGAATGAACTGGATGAATTTAGACTTAGATCATATGAAATTTTTGCCATCTACAAAGAAAAGATAAAGAAATGGCATGATGCTCGAATACTCAAGCGAGACTTCAAGGTAGGAGATTGGATTTTGTTATACAACTCTCGACTTAGACTTTTTCCCAAAAAGCTCAAATCCAAATGGTCTGGACCCTTTAGAATAACGCGGGTGTTCACCAATGATGCCATAGAAGTTGAAGATCAGGAAGGACCTCCATTTAAAGTGAACTGTCAATGTCTAAAATTATACTTTGGGGATTGTCAAGAGATTTCTTTGGTTGAAGTGATATATTTAGAAGATGCTTAAAGGAGCTGCTGCGTCATGCCACGACGTTAACTAAGGCGTTGTTTGGGAGGCAACCCAAAACCATGTACTGTTTTCTTTTTCTTTGATAAAATAATGGTGTATTGCTTGTGCAGATGGAAGTGTGGAGAGTGAACGAAAAGTGCAGATTGGCTGAGTAATACATCTAGTTAGTGAATCGCCGAAGGAGTCGGCGAATCCGATCTTATCCGTTGTCTGACTCTAGACATTGTCAATATTAGAGTCTGTAAAATTCGGCGAGCTTTGGAAATTATTGGCGAATCGCCGACAATATTGGCGATCACGATGGAAATCGCCATTTGGACCCCCCGTAAACCAAAGGTTCTGTAAAGTTTGGCGGATAAACAAAATAGTCGGCATGTCACCGAGTGAGTAGGCGAACTTGACTAATGTCGCCGAGTGGGAGAAAAACTAGACGGTTTTTGCAAGCCAAAGGTTTTAAAAGTTCCAACTTCATTCACTTTCCCTCTTTTTTTTATCTTTTCACAACCCACACATGCACTCTAATTTTATATTTCTTGCACTTCTAGAGTATTTTGGTTCATTAATTTGTGCGCGGATTTGGATTGCATTACCGCCTAGCTTCTCGATAGTATTTCAATAAGTACAACAGGTTATTTTCTTAATTCCTGTAATTATTGTGTCAGTATTGCACTCATTTGCACATTTTTTGACATTGTTAAGATTTGTTGAACCTTCCTGAGTGAATAGAATTGGTTAAGTGTTGATTGTTATTCGATAACCTGGCTTAGACGGTGAAATTTTATTCTCCGATGAATCTAGTTGAGTTAATGTGTGATGCGTGGTATTCGTATGTCACGGGCCTTCATTAAATTTGTGCTATTTGCGCTCAAATTGTGTTTTCGGGGTTTGCGGGGCTGATTTAAAAAAGATGGGTCAAAAGTAGGCACGATAGGTGATTTAGTGAGCTGTGACGAGCTCGCCGAACCACTCTGTGGTTCGCCTAAGTACACCTTAATCGCTCTTTGTCTGCACCTCTAACTCTTTCTGCACTGTGACTTCCAATGGAGTGTTTGTGGCTCGTTGAATGTATTCGGTGGTACACCGAATGAAGTATATAATCTTTCTATAGATGAAAGTCTTTGCTTTGGTTGTTCTAACATTATCTCAAAGACTTTGCAGACATGGCCAGACCAAAAGTTGCAGGAAGGAACATGCCACCTAGACACATAAGAGCGCAACAGTTCAGAAGAACTGACAAGAGCGAGAGCAAGGAAACAAGTTCTAATAGGAGGATTCACACTGACCCTGATGTCCCTTCATGGAATCGAGGGTTCGTTAATGCGATACATGCCTTCAAAGCAGCGCATGATTTGGATAACATGATTGAGGCAAACATCGCTACAGAAGTTGAACCAGAGAGAAGAGAAAACAAGAAACCGAAATAGACTAACAACACTCCAGACACTGATGCCTAGACAGATGGAGAGACTGTGTAGACAGGATTTTTTTTTGTTTACCTCCCTCTCTATCTTTCTTTATTTTGCCTTTCGGATTCTGTGTTAATTGCATTTGAGGACAAATTGCTTTTATTTGTGGTGGGGTGAGGCTCACCTTTTGTGTGTAATTTGTGATTCATGTTTTGTATATATTTGTGTTGTTCTGCTTTAAAATTGTGTTTTATCTGCTTTCTGTGGATATTTAAGCTTATGGCTCCTTTTGAAAATGATTTTGACCCTTCCGAAAAAATTTCAATTTTTGAAATTTTTTGCCACCTCTCGTGTGTTGAAAGTGG